TACGACTACGACTACTACTGCTACTGTATTACTACTACTGTTACTACTGCTCCACCAGCTCAGCCACTGCCATCCCCGCCCCGACCACCACTACCACCAGCGCCCACCGCTACCCGCAACACCGCCCAAACCCAGCAGCAGAAGCATTACCTCGACCGTACACAACCACTGCCGCAAACACAGAGGTGAGAAAAAGGGAGGGAGAGAGAGAGAGAGAGCGGGGGACATGCCGGCCCCTTCAAAGCCACCCAAACACTGGGGGGCCCTTGTGGCCGAGGGGCACGCCCTTTAAGCCCTGGAGGAGCAGAGAGAGAGAGAGAGCGAGAGCGGTATGGCGGCGTTTCGACAGTTGCGTCTCCGATGCTTTGACGTCAGGTCCACAGGATCAAGTCTTGCAGCTCGAGGTCTGCAACGTCGACCAACGCAGCGAACCGAAGGCAAAGCTCCGAAAATCCCGAGAAGTTGTCGTTATCAGCATTTTAGCCGCCAAGCTTTGCATCCCAACAAGCAACTTCCACCCACACCAGCACCACACGAGGACGCGTACCTACAAAACCTCTCCTGTGGTGACTGTGTTTTTGTTTGGGTTCAGCTGGAGGCCCATCATTCTGTGCTCGCGTCAGGGTTGGTGATAAGAGGGCGGCGGCGGTGTCGGGTATGAGTTGCCATGGGCTCTGCACTACCCAGTACCCCGGAGTCCTAGAGGCGCTGCCGAAGCACTCGATCCTAGGCGACACAATTCCAATTCACGTCGACAGGGGTTTGTCCTTTCCGGAAACTGAGGATTGCTGAAGCAGGTTATGGCTGAACCAGGAAGAATGTCGAAAACTCGCATGTGCAAGGCAATCGTTTGGAAAGTCTTTTCGGATCTGACAGGTCGTTGGGGTGTGGTCAATGCCCTTGGCGGAAATCCTTCAGAGACTTGGCAGAGGGACGGGCAGCATGCACCCTTGACCAGACGTGGCTGAATCAAGCAGGGGTCATTCAATACTTGACTTGTCAATCTCCCCTCCTTGTTGTCAGAGTCTTCCCAGTCTTCACATAGTAACCGGCTGCTCCAACAGACCGTAGAGGCTGCTGAAACATATGCCATTCCTGTGGAGATCCAAGGCGGCCGCGCATGACGGTGCCAATGGCATCTTACCCCCTGTGGCTGAGATTATGTCCAGTGAAACTAACTCTCAGATGATAGGTTCAGCAGCTTCCATGCCTGCCGAATCATATATCAACATGCATGCTGGCAATTTGCAGGAGGTACGGCGGTTGGGGCTGGGTAACTAACAAAGACTTCGGCATCGCACCGAGCGCAGGCAAGATCCAGACAAGCAGCAGGTGGATGCTGCCGAGGAAAAGTTGCACCTGCAAGTGTAGGTTGAGTGAACGGTCACCGAACATCACCGAGGGTTTGCCAGGCTGAAAGGCTCTGAAAGGCAAGGGCAGCCGCCGTTCGTTGCCGGAGGCCTCGCCGGCGCCGGCTGAGCCTGTGGAGCCCTTCTCCTTGCATTTGAAACTTGCCCCTTGGCTGCCTTGAGGTTGAGTGGAGACGGTTCGTGCGACATGGTGCCTAGGAGATGCTCCACCTCCGCAGCAGTGACGGGAGGAGAGGACAGCCGACATAGGCGGAAAAGTGGAGCGTTCTCATTCTTTCACAGACCTGGAAGAATCGTTCTGCTCGATGTTTGGGTTTGCAGGGACAGCTTTGCCGCCAAGGTCCTCAAGCGCCAGTATGTGTCATCCGTGGAGAGGCAATGGTATCAAGAAATCGTCCGCATGGCAGGCGCCCCGAGCGGCGAAACGGTCTTGAGGGCCCAACGAGTCTTTTTTCGAGAACTGACACTCTGCTCATCTCCTTCAACGTCTCGCTGTTTTTTTGATTGCAGAATCTAGGGCGGGCAACAACATGTTCATACGTGCCAGGGTCTAGAGTCCGTTTCCGACGCTCAAGGGCAGCATTGTACGTCTAGCCTACAGGACGGACTCAGTTACAGCAAGCTTCTCCAAACTTTTTGCGACACTGTTTGCTTGCAGCCTTGAGATGTTGACAGCTCTCCACTCAGTACTTTTGTCAAACTTTCATCTTCTCGAAAGATGCGCATCACATGATCGACAAGGGGCTTGGCCGGTGCTTGTCTTGGGCCAGCCATGCCCGGTTTCAGTGCAACAACCTCGTCCGAAGCCCAGAGCCATGCCAACATTCTAGGCAGTAGCACAGTTACGAGGGGCGTTTCGCCGCCCAATTCCGAGATGTTGCCCAGTGCAGTGGTGGGCCGAGCGAATCGCCCCCGAGGTTTCAGTCGCCGTCCTTTGGAGGTGCCTTTCGACTCCCACAAGACGGCAGGATTCCCCTACAAGTTTGAAGCCTGTGGAGGCTTCAGCCCAACCTTCAGCCCTCCTGGCTTTCCAGGCACTGTGCAAGATGCAAGCCTCTAGTTACATGTAGACATGCAACGCTGCAGTCGTGCTTAATCGTGTATCTTGTTTATCGTACGTACTAGCACTAGGTTTAAGTCGTTTTTTGCCGCGGCGAAGTTGTCCCAACCCCATGTGCCGCAAGGTTTGGGCATATTTTCAAAAGCTGTATCGTATCATGTTACACATGCGGTCTTTAGTTTCTGCGCGATCCAGTACTGTGTGCGGTCTTTCACCTTGAGTTTGCATCTGTTGTGATGTCACTTAGAGTTGGTGCTTGCTTTTATGTTGTTTACAAGAAGCCACGAGACTACTGGGAAGCCACGGTCTCGAAGCCACCGGTCTCGAGCATGTGCTCTTTTCAGAAGGTGCTCCAGATAAGAGTTATGGGAGCCCACGCTTCTTTGGAGCCTACGTTACACGTGCAATGCTCCCAAGCAAGTTGGAAGCATAGCTGCAGCAAGCAGGCCTCTCCTGTGACGTGTTTAGCAGAGCACGGAACCTGAGCGCCTGAGCCTGGACCAGCGTCGTGGCGGGGCGTGATGTGAAATGTGCTGCCCGGACTCGCCTCTCTAGCAAAGATGCGGTATCTGGGTGGACCGGGCTTTCGAACGAACTGTAGCGACAGATTCGGCAAAGTCGGAAGGACGCCAATTCGACTGCAGCGGGACGTTTCAGCTCTCGATCAGATGGCATGACTTGTGCACTCGAGGCCAGTGTGCCGGTGGACCAACCATTCAAAGCGCGAACATGCGCGAACGAGAGCCTGGGTTTTAGCCAGCCGTCGGACGGTGTCCGATCCATTCAGGGGGATGGGACGGAGATTTGTGTCGGACGCCAAAGAAACCGCTTTCACTCGCACAAACGAGTGTCGTTCAATGAAGTGCAGCGTCTCCTGAAAGTTTGGTGCGTAGTCTTTGGGCCTTTTTCTCTTTGAGCCGCACAGTTCGGACTGAACTTTTCGTTCGCATCGCTTAGCCAGGCATGTGGTGCAGTCTGCTTGCCGTGCGACATTCGATGCATGGGACAGTGGACTTGTGAATAGGTCCGAAGTGGTCGCGAACTAGTTCGCTACATGTAAGCAAGCTTGTCTGGGTAGGCGTACGGATGGCGGCATGCGTTTTGCATGGCTCCTAGGTGCAAGTGCATATACCAGCACAAACAAGTACACATATATGCATGTATCGGCAGATAAGTCGATGAAGTTCGATAGTAGGTAGATAAGACAAGAGATTCCGTAAGGTGCACATGTAAACGGCTGTATTTGCAGGCCTGGCTGGATCCATGGAACCCTTGACGGCATTGGGAGCGCCGGTGCCGGTGCGGATGCCCGGCGCGAATCTGCAAGGCCAGGAAGCATCAGGTTTACGGCTTGCTGCTCACGGGGGGTGAAAATGAACATTTCTCCGCTGGCATCGAGCAGAGCGCCAGGCGTCGGCCTTGAGCTCGACCGGAGACGCGGCCAAGCGGCAAAGAGTACTTCCATCACGGTGCAACAAAGGTGTGTGTGCCTTGCGTGGCTTTGGGGTGTTGGCCGTATCTCACAAGTAAGGGGCTGTGGCATGGCGGTGGGGGTGGCCAGAAGACGTTTGCCGAATCGAACATGCCGGTCTTGCTTTCCTTGCAATCTGCATCAGAATTTACAGTGATAAGTTGGGTCGCGACCTGAACTTCGCTGTCCTGTGGCCTTACCCCCAGCCAGCCGCCGAATAAAGGAGGAACCCTGCCGGAGCTGTCGGCATTTGCCATGGGCCAAGAGGGATCGTGCCGAATTGTTCTTGATTGTGCATTCTACGCGGTATTCTGTTGGGAATCTTCAGTACGTTCAGGAGGACAGCGACGCCCAAGAGGCAGGAAAGACAGTCGAGAAAGCTGAGGATGAGGCCTGCACTGCTGCCGCTAATAGGCATTTTGCAGTTAGCCGCCTTTGCAGGCAACGGATGCTGCTTTGGCCCCAGCTGGAATTGTGCTAGTGCCTTCCGCGTGTCGTCGGGTAAGATCTGGAAAACGTCTTCGGGCCAAGAACCACACGATGCAGAGCAGAATTTCATGCTATGCATGCGATATCATGCGATTGTTACTGAGGTGCAAGAAGCCGTGAAAAAAGATTTGCCACATGGTTCGCAGAGATGTTTGCAAAGATGCGCAAGCATGTCGCCCGTTTGGGGCTTTCTTAAATTCTCCAAAGGTCCGGCATCGGGTCTGGGGCTGGCCCGATTAGGGTTGGGACTGCTCTGAATTCCGGGGCAAGCCCATAAAATGAGATCCCCACAGGCTTGGGACAGAGGGGACGTGACAAGATTTCGAGTGTGCCGGGCCAAGGGACAAGGCGGAAGATGAGACGGATAAGATGCTGGACAAAGATCCTGACAACACCAGGCACTCTCATGTGCTCTCGCAATCTCTCGCATCCATAATATAGAGTTTCTGGCCTTTGCAGGGTGCCGCAGGATACCGCCGATGCGGTGCAAATGTATGCTCAGAAGAGGATAGTTCCCACCTTCAGCCGGGTGCTCGGGAGTGCGGCTTCCTTTTGCTTCGGGCCGTGAAGTCATTTGGTGTTCAGTTACATTGGGAATGGTAGTGCTGATATCAGGCCTGAGCTTTTTGCATAGGCATATAGCAGCGCGTGCCTTCTCTGCTCAGCTGGTGGCCTGACGATGCGAAAAATCAACGACCTTATCAGCGAATCCAGGCCAGCGAGCTTCGTGCATCGTATAGAGGAGGCAGTGGAACATAATTAGAACCCGAGTGCAGCAAGCATACGTTGATGCAGCCAATACAGCCTTCGGCGTATGTTGACATCCCGTGAGGCAGCTGCTTCACAAGGTCCATGGCAAGCTGAATGCCATGAAGGCAGATGAGGGGGCATGTCTTTGGGCCAACCGTTTATCTGGCCCAGAGCCGTCCCATCCACCCGCTGCTTCCCATTCCTTGCCTCCAGTTCAATCTATATGTGTGAGCTCCTAAGGTCAAGCCACCGGACACTGGACTGGGATTCATGATTCATGCACATGTCACATGTGCGGATCTGCCAGCACTTCCTGTCCAAAAGTGCTTGTGTCCCGACTGAGCAGTGACCGCGTGTGCAGGATCTGCTGCGGCTGCCGAAGGCGCCAGTGCAAAGCAGGACGGGACGAGACGCTTAGACTTGAGCGCACGCAGCATTTGCTGCCTTTCAGGCATTGTGCATGTGCGATGCCTGACAGCAATTGAAACCAATGATTGCGAAGGCTCAGAAGCAACAGAGCAGTGCGCTGCAATTGGTGGTCATTCCTCCTGCCCGCGGTTGGCGGCTGAGAATCCATGCGCAGCATGGGGTGCTTATGCTGTTTGCCGGCTCGGACTCATGTCAAGCGTCAAGGTGGAGCTTCCCACTTGGCGCAGTTCCTTCCCTCCATCTCACTGTCCGCATAAACGGCTTTGCTGTTGGCCACATGCCACCGTGGACCGAAGCAGTGCGGGACCAGCCGCATGCGATGCACGCGACTGCTGTGGCAGACGGAAAAAGATCTCGGGTGCAGCCTTCGAGTTGACTTCACTCTGAAGAAAGTCTCCATCTATTGATAGCAGGCAAGACAGGCAGTTGTGCGCGTGCTCGCGCGAGAGTGGTGGTGTCGCCCTTGTTTCTTAGTTTGGGAGAGAGAGAGAGAGAGAGGACATTCCTACGCCCGGGAGAGAGAGAGAGAGGCCATTTTGGCTCAAGCCGCGAGTGGTTCAAGGAAGGGTGGCCTCTCTGCCCCTCTTTCGTCTTCTCCGCTTCTTCCGGGGCCACCCTTTCTGAATGCGGGGGCGTGCCCTCGTTCTTCTCCTCTCCTCTTCCGCCGCGATTGCTGAACGAGCTGAACAATATCCGCGCGCTGAACTCCCCAACGCTGCCGCGGGCGACATCGTCGGGTTCGGTCCAGTACGGTGACCGCTGCCCCCCTTACTTGGCCTGCATTCCCCCGTTTGCGACCTGCTACCTGAAGGATAACCTGGGTATCCTCATCCTTGCCTACATGGCTGCTGCCGGCTCAGGGATCTCCAATTTCAGTGCGACACCGTCAGCCCAACTCGGGGGTGAAGACCCCAATTCACCTAACAAGCGCCCCTGCGGAGGAGGGGAGACCCTGAAGGAGCAGAATTCCGCAAAGAAATCAACAACGCTCTTGCCGGGGCTACTACCCGCTTTATTTTCAGCAACAAGGAGCTCGCACACTCCAGGCAGTGGAGACCATTACGACCACCCAGGCCGAACAGGGCCTTCGTCATCAGAGGATTCAAGATGATATCGGTGCTCGCATGTCCACTTTGGAGCATGAAATGAAGACGATTCAGTCTACGGGAGCAGCCCTTCCACTGCTGAGACAAACCGCTCGCACTTGGTGATGGGGGGATGACGCCCCGAGACACTTGCTTCTGAAGTACTTGAAAAGGCTAACGACACGGCCCGAGACCTGCAACTCGACATGGACCTCAAAGATGCTTTCGTGCCCGATGTTCGCAAAAGGTTTGTGCTGATCCCCATGTCGTCCCAGGACGGGGAGACCGAGGAACTGATGCGACATCGTGCTCAGCATTGCACTCGCGGAGTCAACCAGGCCAACGCCGGATGGAAACCGTACCAGGCTGTGGCTTTCTGCAAGTCAGCCTCCGGAAGGGCGACCGCCCTTGCTTGAAAGGATCCTCGAGTGCGGTGGCACAGGGGAAATCCCTGCCATTGAGCCAGACTGGCCCACGGGAGCAGTGTGGTTCCACTCTACCAAAGTCGCTTCCGGGTCTTCTGCACCGCCTCCCTTCGGCGTTCGAGCCGGATGTGGCTGGGTTGATCTTTCCACCATTGCACGGCTCTGGGAATATTCCAGTCTGAAGTTGAGGAAGGCTGGGAGCCGCTGCGAGCGGCTCTGAATTGAGAGGACGACAGTTGACGAAACACTGCTGCGGTGGGGGGAATTTTCCCTTTTGCGTCTCTCCTGGCCAGAGGGGTCCAACTCGAGACTCCTCAATCCTCCTTTTGTCTGACAACCTGGAACGTCGGCGGTATGTCTTCGGACTGAGTCTTGGGCTTGCTCGCCAACCTGCGGGGAGGCCCCCAGGAACTGCGGAACCTGCGGATTGTTTTCCTCCAGGAGTCCAAGAGGTCATAACTCATAACCAAGGGCGGCCCGCACTTGGATGAAAATGAGAACTGGTGCCTAGTTCATGGCAGAGAGAGAGACGATGGAGAGGAACTGGCATTGCGTTTCACAAGACTTTGGGCACGCACACTCCCGCAGTGCACTTTTCACGGTAGCTTGCTTTGCAACAGTGGCCTCTCCCCAAAGTCACCTTCTTGGCCTCTTGCTTGGCCATGTTTCACATCGCTTTACCATTGTCCAAACTGAGGCTGCTGTTAGCACCTGCAACCTCTCGGCGCGGGGGGCCGGACTGGCTCCCTGCACTCCGGAGAGAGGTGAAGTTAAGAGGGAGAGGGAGAGAGGGAGAGAGGGAGAGGGAGAGAGGGACAAAGAGAGAGGGACAAATTGCCTTCGTCTACAACGTGCATCGCTAGCCATGGGATGTGCGCTTGATTTGGTTTGTGTGCTCAGCTTTTATCAAGTGAAGCATCAGACAGAGGGGTGCAGAATCCTGCCAGGCGTTCGACGTCTGACTACGTACGGAGGTGCTTCGCGCTGGCTGAAATTCCAGCTGCTCGGCTGCCGGTCGTTCGCATCCGTAAACCGCTAAACAGCTAAACCTTTGCTAAATAGGCTTTGCTGGCCGAGTCAGTATCAGGAAGCGGCCCAGTGCAGCTGCAGATCTGCAGGCGCAGAGAAGCAGGAGCACAGAGCTTTCCAGAATCGACGGGACTTGGGACAGGGAGCTGGCAGCTCGCAGCAGCAGCTGTTTCTGGCGTGGATGCAATCCATGGGCCGGCGCCAGGCTCGACAACGAAAGTGAAGGCCAGAGTACGGCAGATGTTCATGCCGCTGCAAGGAAAGCATCTTCCAAGATGCTGCTTCCAAGCCACCTCCCCCACACACAAGTGGAGGTGCTGTGGTATTTTCGGGCTACAGAAGACGGGTCATTTTTTCGGAGGTGCTTGCTCGTTGTTCACACTGCTGCGAGACTCGAGATGCAAGTCGCAGATGACAAGGGATGCAATGAAATTCTGAGAGCAGGCCTTGCAATTCATGAAGGCATTGGTCTGTCTCTCTTCCCAAGTTTGCAAAACTCAAGTTGTGCCAGATGCAGATGAGCTGAGTGATGATTCAGAGGTGCGCAGGGGTGTCAGTCAAGGTGGGATGTAGAGTCTAGACGTTGCATCATCCGTTTGTCCAGCTTACACCTCGACCACAAAACAGTTCGGTATATATATATATATAATATGTATATGTATATATGTATATAGGGTTCCCGTCCCTGTGTGGAAACCTTCGTTCAGATGGAGGACTTGGATTCTCTCTCGGAGGATTCTGACTCGGAGGAGGAGGAGGAGGAGGCCGCGACTCCACTGCGTTCGTTCCTCCATGAAATAAGCTGGCACCTAAGCTCAGGAGCCGGAGCTGCAGCAGGAAGGCCAGCGATTTTTGCATGATGTGTGGCCAGGGGGAGTTTCTGAAAATGGGACAGCGACCCCGATGCCCCGCCGTAAATGCTCATTTCAGAAGCCCCCATTCACCTTTTTAAACAACAAAGATCAAAGCCGTCAGCCAGCTCCAGGCACATCACGACCCTCCAGGCAGGAACCGCCCGTGGGCACAGTGTTTGCGTGAAGATCCTTATGATAAGGACACCCGGAATCGAGAGCCTTCATTTCTGAACTGCCCGCCTGCCTGACTAGTGCCTCCAATAACTTGGTGGCCATCATACACCGCATCGCAGCGCAGCACCTACCTGTAATTTGATGGAGACTACGAAGCAGTTCATGCGGTCCAGCTTGTAAAACATGGTGGTGAGCTGGCCCTGATTGTTCCGCGAGGGTTTCTTTTTTGCAGGCGCTCCCAGCATGTGCACAAGCCCAAGGCCACTGTGACCGTTTCTTCTCATTCAAACCAGGATTCTCTGTGCTAGCTCCCAGTAGAAGCGGAAGTTGGATTCACCTCCGATTCCGGTTGCCCTTCCGCTGCTAGACCAGTGGAGACAACGCAAGGCAGTGCCGGAATCAACACGTGCTTGTGACTGACGGTGGTCAGGATGGACATGATTCCGAGGCAAGTGGCCATGAAGCACTGTGCTCCTGTATTCTGATACATGCTGACAGTGCAAGTGTACATCCCACTTCGATGGTGGCTGACCTCTGCTCTTTTGGCTGTCCAGACCGATGCCGCGGACACGCCGAAGGCATCAGAATCAGCTGCTTGGGAATGGGCCGCTGGAGGTCTAGACCGCAGGCTTCAGATCATTTTGTTTTGACTCGTACAGACTTCGGCATAGGAGCTGAGTAAGTCGGTACATCCACACTGGCAGCGAGATTAACCTGCAGATGGAGCTCCAGTCACATCGCGGTGATCGGCTGGGCCGGGAGGCGCTTTTGTCATAGATTTCCCGTTGCATGTCAACCAGCAACCTCACAGAGCATCTTTGCTGTCAAGGAGCGGGCGATGCACCGGCGAGGCACCTCTGGTTCCTGTCAGAGAACGAAGGGAGCTCAGACCCATGCGGTTCCTTTCACGTTTGTTCGGTATGGAGAGAGCCGACCATCATCTGGTTGAGCGCAGGAGAGCATTCCAGGACTTACAAGGGCGCACTGCAAAAAGTCACTGGCCTGGGCGGTGGACCTACAACAAAGTCTGTGCGGCCTGTGCGCCCTTGAAAGACAAGTGAGCAGCGTTTCTTTATTTCCGTCTCTTGACGGAATACTACAGCTAGACACAAAACTTTCACTCGATCTCGAAATCTTGCAGGGACTGTGCGGGCGGAAGGACGCGGAAGGGCTTGCTCCGCGCAAGGGTGCGGAAGCAACATATACGTCTGAATACGTAAGCCGCCGCGGCAGGAGAATACGTCAGTTTCATTCAGTCGCGAGACATACAATTACTAGCTATTTTCCCGTACTCTTCCAGGGTTCAGGTCTTCTTCCAGGAATCACGAGGCACGCCCAGGAAGCAAGTGGAAGTCCCTTTCCTTGGCACGTTAGCTCTTGCGGACGGGTTCGCTTGCAAAACGGTCCGCAGAAGGGCATGCGGAAGGGACGACGTGCAGTGACTCAGAAACGTGCCAAATGGAAACTGTGATACGTAAACAGACCAACACGCGGATGCCTCTCGCACGGCTTGGCATGCCCGCCTTTCCGTGCTGCGGTTGCGTGCAGGCCTCGGCTCCAAAGACGAGATCCTGGGCTACGCGCGGCAGGTTGCTGACGAGGTGGGACGAATACAATGACGGTACCATAGGTATTTGCTTGAAAAATATCGAGATAGTCATGACATTTCCCCTTTGCAGCTGTGATGGATGTTGGTCAGCTTTTTCTCAGATGGGACAATCCGACGGCGTCTCTGTGCGTGGACCTCAGACTCGGTTCGTGGGACAGGCACTCAGAGAATCCAAACTAGGGTGACATATCTTATTCAGACAGTCAGTGATAATTGATGTTACGCACGTAGAGCTCACATCCTGAACCTGCAGCGGATACATCGTTTGCAGAAAGTAGACGTTGTCCACATCGAAGCCATCGGCTGAGTTTGCCCTGAGCTGCGAGTCCTGCTTCGAAGGCTCCCCAGAATTTCCAGACATGAGCAGTGGCGTGTCTGCGTCTTTGGGAATGGGGTTCGTACCGAATCATACGGAGTCACAGGCTGCAAATGATCTGGTCACGAGCGCGATGCAGGCAGCTGTAAGTGGAAGCACGGATACGAGCCAAGTAAGTGCCCTTTGGCACAACTCAAAGAGTACAGCAAAGCCGAAGCAGAGAAGAAACAGAATGGCACACTCGAGAACAACTCGATGATCATCCGCCAACAGATGGAGACGACACATCAGTAGGAGAATCGTCTGGGCAGCCTGAAAAAGGAAATCTGCACCCTGACGAGTGTACCGTTACTGCTACTGTTGCTGTTACTGTCATTGTTTCTGTTATTCTTTCTCTTTCTGCTACTAGTACTAAGTACTAAGTGTTACTGTTACTGTTACTGGACGGCCACGAAATTCAAGTGAAAGAGCCTGGCAGCTGCAGGTCTGACATCATGATGTTCGCGAAGCGGGTTGCAGCTCATCCATCCGAGAGCGGTGTCGTCACCGAAAGCTTTGGAGGATCGTATCGTGGATTACACAGCACTGAGCATCCACCCTTCTTGGGCATTGTACAGCAAGACTACGTCAGACAATGCGGCTTGTTTTCTTGCAGTCGACGGCTTCAGCAACGACATGTTCAGCGAGCCGGGAGCATAGCGTGCAGCAATGGTCCGGTGGAGCTGAGTCCCTGCCCAGTGTCCTCTAGGCTTTCGTAAGCATATGTGAAGCCCCGAAGCATCTGCCCACGCCCAGCAACTCGCTTGGTGGCTCTGCGCTGCTGCGATTCGCCCGGGGAGTGGCTCAGCGCGGGGACCTGTCCTCCGCCGGGCGCCCCAGGAAGCAGTAAGATGCCGCGATGCCAATGCACTGGGCCTTTTCCAAGGCCGGCGGAACCTCTGCTGTGGAAGGTGACGTGCTGGCCTTCGCACGCAAGGCCGCGTGCTTGTAGGAGTCTTCCTACGTCTCAGGCTTCGGAACTGCAACCGCCTTCCACGTTCAGGTAGCCCAGCAAGCGTCCGAGAGTGGCATAGGTGCCGGCCTCAGTTCTGAGTATTAGCCTCACACTTCCATCTCATGGCGTCTCCGAATGTCGTGTCAACTAGCCTCACCTTCGCTCGTTCCTGCCCGTCTCCACCAACCCGAACCATCCTCCCGAGCTTCCATGGAGGCTCGTCAGGTCCCCATGCGTCCCAGAAGGCCGTTATTACATTCTGGGATGATAGGAACTGAAATGGAGCAGCATAATTCCCGACATGCCCCAGTCGGCGGATGCGTCTGAGGTCTGCGCGCTTCGGAAGCAACCCGCCACAAACATCCACATATCTTCAGATCTGCAGGTCCCATGAGGAACGGAGTCTAGCAGAAGAACGCTACCGCTACACGAATCCACTCTGTGGCATCTTTCGATCCGCACACCAGACTCTGAATATAGCTCTTCCTGTCCACATCCATCGGCAGAAAAAGCCCGATCTGTTGTGCCAGCAATATGCTCCCTTGTGGCAAGGGACCGGCATTACGGAGGGCACGGACATCATGGCCTTCGCGAGAAAGGCTGAAAAGACATGCAGAGCAGGGGGAGCAGGGGCCTCATCAGCTTGCTCTCGCCCCAGGCAGCCCGAGCAGTCTCACAGTCCGGCATCAGTCAAGGCACCGCGTTTGGGGGTCGTTGGTAGAACAAAACCAGAGGACGGAGGAGCGTAAAGAGCTTCTGTTGCCAGGTGCAAGCGAGTCTGACGTGCTGGCTTTCGCCCGTAAGGTGTGGTCATTGCACGACCCCTTTTGCTCAAGATACAAGACACCTGGATATCAGGCCGCCAGGGAGATCTCGCAGTCTGGCATCGGTGCAAACGACTCTGACATCCTCACCTTTGCCCGAAAGGTGTGTTTCAATGCCCGTGCGCCAGTGACCATTCAGCAGTCGGCACGCGAGGCTGCCGATGATGTCTCGAAGTCGGGTGCCGCTGGAAATCTCAGAGTTGCGGCCATCGTAACCTGCTGCGCAGACCATCCTGGCATCGCTGTGCTCAGGTCAGCGAGACCAGCGTTCTTGCTTTCGCCCGGCAGGCGTCATTTCACTTTGTGCAAGGGCAAGGGCATGCAAGGGCCAGGACTGGGCCAGGCCGTCTCAAAGGCAAAAAGGCTCCAGATCCTTGTGATCCGCTCGCGTCCTCTGTCCAATGTCTCTTCCTAGACCGGTCGTCGGCGTGTTACTCAGCGGACGCTCGTTCGCGTCTGCGGCTTCCTTGCCAATTTCGTGTCTGCTGACAGGTGGCGAATGGGATGCACAGCGAGGTGAGAGCAGCCCTGTTCCAGAGCTGGCACCAATTCCATAAACTGGGATGGTTCATCCGTGTCCGCCCTACAGGTGACTGAGACCAGTGCAGCAACATCAAGGCAATTCGCGGTGCACGTCAGGGAGAGGGGGAGAGGCCTCACGCGACATCAGTGTTGCATGTTCAGGTCCAGCGACTAGGGACCTAACACTGTACGTGTCCATGAGCCGTGCTTGTCCCAGTCCGGCTGGCAGGTCCGACTTCCTGGCCTTTGCTCGCCGGGCAGCACAGGCGGGACAATCCACTATTCGCAGCTTCGATCATCTTGCTGAGCCTCCAAGCCAAGTTGAGTTTGTGCTGTTGAAGCACATGTTAAACCGGAGACTGGCAGATAGACCTTGTAGCAGGATGTCTCGAAGTCTGGAGTGGTGGGCCACTAAGCGCTTTACATGTATGTGCCCTGCTACCTCGGATTGTCCCGTTGTCCATGCTTCTCCATGCCTGGGAGCTGCTCAGAGTGAGAAGCAATACTGCCGTCTGAGGCCAGCAGTGTTGCCTCAGGCGCCAGCGCCTAAGCGGAGGGGCCTTGTTTCGCAGCTCGGCCTTGACCCGGTTTCCGACAAGGCAGAGTCGGACATCTATGCCTTCGCTCAGCAGGCCAGAGATGCTTATTGCCTATTGCCCTGCTAAGATCTATCAGCGCTTTGCTTGTTGGCAACGTCTGATTTTGCCGGAGGGTACAGGAAGGTCGCTTTATCTCGCATCACTGGGTTGAAATACGCTTCGATGAACGTCCACACTCGAGAAAGCGCTTTCAAACAATCACTTCTGTCTATGAACGATCCGAGGGTTCCTCGTGGAATCGAGCATCCAGATGGGGCATGGCTAGGTTGGATGTGGTGTGCTGCCACTGACGTTCGTCTCGAGCGGGTGCTTGTGGAATCGAGCGTCTAGATGGGGAATGGCTAGGTTGAATGTGTTGTGCTGCCACTGACGTTCGTCTCGAGTGGGTGCTTGCGGAATCGAGCGTCTAGATGGGGAATGGCTGGGTTTGATTGTTCTGCTGCCACTGATGTGCGTCTCGAGCGGCTGGTGGAATCGAGCATCTACAG